ATTGGTTTCGCTGAGGTCCATCTAAGTCAGTAAACTGCGCCAGCGTGCTTTTAAACGTCCAAATGCACATTCTACCACCATTCTGCACTTGCTCAGCATATAGTTGAACAGGTCCTGACTACTGTCCAGACTGCCTGTGTATGGCTTCATAAGCCATGGCATTAAGGGGTAGGCTGGGTCCCCAAGGATAACTATAGGCATTTCAACATCCCCAGTGGTTATTTTCTGGTCTGGGAAGAACGTTCCTTCCTGCAGCTTTTGAAACAAACCAGAGTTCCTGAAGACATGAGCATCATGTACCTTTCCCGGCCATCCCATGTTGATGTTGGTGAAACGTCCCTTGTGATCCACCAGCATTGCAGCAGCATTGAAAAGTACCCTTTTCGGTTTATGTACTCACTGGCTTGGTGCGCCAGTGCTAAGATAGGGATATGGGTTCCGTCTATCGCCCCACCACAGTTAGAGAATCCCATTGCAGCAAAGCCATCCACTATGACCTGCACATTTCCCAGAGTCATTACCCTTGATATCAGCAGCTCTTTGATTGCATTGGCAACTTGGATCACAGCAGCCCCTACAGTAGATTTGCTCACTCCAAATTGATGCCCGACTGACCGGTAGCTGTCTGGTGTTGCAAGCTTCCACAGGGGTATCGCCACTTGCTTCTCAACTGTGAGGGCTGCTCTCATCTTGGTATTCTGGTGCTTCAGGGCAGGGGAAAGCAAGTCACAAAGATCCATGAAAGTGCCCTTACGCATGCAAAAGTTTCGTAGCCACTGGGAATCATCCCAGACCTGCAACACTATGCATTCCCACCAGTCTGTGCTTGTTTCCCGGGCCCAGAACCGGCGTTCCATGGCATGAACCTGCCCCATTAACACCATGATGTACACACTGTCGGGGCCCATACTTTGTGAGAAGTCTATGTCCATGTCTATTTCCTCATCACTCTCATCACCGCGCTGCCGTTGCCTCCTTGCCTGGTTTTGCTTTGGCAGGTTCTGGTTCTGCATATACTCCAGGATAAGGTGTGTGCTGGTTATACTGCTCATAATTGCCGCGGTGATCTGAGCAGGCTCCATGATACCAGTGCTATGGTGTCTGGGCTGAAAAAAGGCACGAAACGATTGTCTGCTGTTGCTTTCATGGAGGGAGGGAGTGGGGGCCTGACGAAACACAAGCTCTCATCAGATTCATTACCAATCCTGTTTTTGCTGATTGCTTATTAACAGACTCTACCCACAGTCCTATTTTCTCAATGAAACAGTACACTTTTGTTGGCCAAGCAAGTTCCTAAAATAGTAATCGCAACAAGAAATACTGCACAAAGAGCTGGATCTATAAAGTCATTAACTAAGGTACCTTTGGGACACAACAATAGATGTCTCAATCTAAACTTGCTTTAGCCTTTCCATGGATTTGACTTAAAAGCAAGATATAAATGTATAAGAAAAGAGGCTCCCTGGATGGTCATTCTGCTACATCCTGACTACACTGTAGTTAGTTTCATTGTCAGTTTTTTTTCAGTTTTTTTCAGTAATTATATTATGTGCAGACTGTCAATATTTGGATATTTTGAAATATTCAGGGATGGGGTAGCACACACAAAATCCTTTTCCCCGGCTTTCTAATAGTAGATGCCTTGCCACTCGTTTTCCTAAGTTTGTTATAGCTGCTGAAGAGGAACCCATTTCATTTGAGTTGACTGCCTGTCACAGCTTTTCAGTGAATTATCTTACTGGTTTTCTTATCTATTACCTTTTTTAACCTTTTTTTTTTTTAGATATATTTTTTCAGTATAGAACCTACTGTTACTATTGTAGAAAAAGCCCTTTGCCCTGATTTAGCATAGTTTTTACAAGGTCTTCTTACAATGCTAGAGAAAATCCTCCTGTTTGAGACATAAGGATATTAGTTTTTATTCAAGATGGGCATTATTCTAAGAACTTACAAAACTGCTTTTCAGCAGAAGAAATAAAGGTACATACAAAAATACAATGAAACTAGATATGCTTTCAGTCTGTTTATCAAAATGCTTAGCTCTCACATTTAAAATTAAGTAAAATAAAAATAAATACTAGAAATTAAATGTAAAAATGAACGGCTTTCCTATCTTAATGTTGTAATAATAAAACACCGTAGGCCAGAAATGCTACAAATTGAAACTGAAGTGACAGTAGACTGACCACATTGCACATATGTATATTTTATGATATACTAATGGTAAAGGCTAATATGTTCAGATTAACATTTAATAAGGGAAAAGAGACAACAATTATAGAACTAGATCTAATTAGTAGAACAAACTTTACATTTGGATTTTCCTGATTTTTGAGTACTTGATCTCCCCCAAAAGGGTAAAAATAAGGGTTTTTTTCCATGCAGTTCTTTGCTGAGAGATGCATGCTTAGAAGTTGAGCCTCCATTGTGTAGAGGGATATATGGAGATGTGCTTGACCCATGCTTAGAAGGTGCATAAACAAAGATCATGTAATCAAGTAAAAAGATTGTCATGGTCATCATGGTGAACTGACACTTGTACCCCTTACTACATTGATGAGGAACATCTAGATAAAGACTTATCAGGAGGCAGAAACTGAGCATTCCTTATGCAATTATGCAGTGCAGTGTTTTGGTCTGACAGTGTCCATGTCTGTCACAAAATGAAATGTTTTCTGTGAGATGGTCTTAGGTATATAAATGTTTAAATTAAGACCAGCCCTGAAAGGAAAGAGTAAGAATGATGTAAGGCAGTGTTAGAATGTGGAACTTGATTTTCTGATTAAGCTAATAACTAATCAATTTTTGTAGGTGTATGATGGCATGAAGGCTGTCTTTTTCTCAGTATGAAGAAGAACCATGCTTAGAAGCCTTTCTATTAGATATGCAGAGGCACTATTTATGTAGTCCTCATCTTTCTCAGGGAATCTACCTTTACTTTGAATACTTTCTCATAAAGAGGATGCCTGAAAAGGAATGTGTGGGCAAGGGCTGAGAGGTAGCATAGAATGGAATTGGATCACATATTCAAACTGGATGATCATTGTAGCTAGACTCCATAGTAATTCTACCCAAAGCATCAAAGAAACTGTCAGAAGGTAGAACTGGTGCTAGGTTGTCAGGTAACATGTTGGATTTTTGGTCTTGCTGCTAAAGAAGACAAATGAGTGGCAGAAGATGAAACTGATCTAAGATGTTTTCCAGTGCCTTTCTTCTTCTGGTGTTATGGCTACCTCTTCTGAAATTGAAGCTGGACAATTGAGGTTAAGTCTGTGATTCTGGAAGGAAGAGGTCAAGGGGGGTCTCCCTTGTCTGGTCTGGTTGAAAGAGTCCCAGAGATCAACAATAGATTAAGAATCTTCACTTTCTCAAGAATCTTATCCATCTTTAGGCTGATACCCTCTCCGTCAAACAGAGGATCTTCCATTTGGGTCTGAGACTTAGCCAAAATGCCCAACACTGTTAGCAAGGAGCACAATCTAAGGGAAGAAGCTGATACCACCTGAAGCATCCTAAGTTCCTGAAGGATGTGCTTGGCCACTATATGCCCCTTAGTCACTAGCTTTGCTGGTGGTTTGTGTGTGTTTTTGTTTGTTTTTCCTGCACCTCAGGAAAACATCCTGGGAAGTAGTGACTCAGAAAAAGATTTGAGGGTCGTGGTGGATAATCAGCTGAATATGAGCTCCCAGAGTAACACTGTGGCCAAAAGAGGTAATATGATCCTGTGATACATAAATAGGAGAATCTCAAGTAGAAGTAGAAAGTTTATTTTATCTCTGCATTTGGCATTGGTCCGACTGCTTCCAGAATCCTGTGTCCATTTCTGGTGCCCACAATTCAAGAAGGATATTGATAAATTGGAGGGGGTTCAGAGAAGAGCAACAAGAATGATTAAAGGGTTAGAAAACATGCCTTATAGTGATAGCCTCCAAGAACTCAATCTATTTAGCTTAACAAAGAGAAGGTTATAAGGGGTGACTTGATTACAGTCTAGAACATGGGGAACAAATATTTAATAATGGGCTCTTCAATCTAGCAGAGAAAGGTATAACAAGATCTAATGGCTGGAAGTTGAAACTAGACAAATTCGGACTGGAAATAAGATGCGAATTTTTGATGGTGAGAGTAATTAACCATTGGAACAATTTACCATGGGTCAAGATGTATTCTCTATCACTGACAGTTTTTAAATCAAGATTGGATGTTTTTCTGAAAGATATGCTCTAGGATTTATTTTGGTAAAGTTTTATGGCCTGTGTTACGCAGGAGGTCATACTAGATGATCATAATAGTCCCTTTTGGCCATAGAAACTATGAATCTATGAACTTATTAGAAGGAATATTTATCCCCAAGATAAAATTGGTACTTTCCTATGACAGGTTGTAATTCACCACATAGATACCAGAGAAGGCTTTCTTTCACCTAAGGTCTATTTTTTGATGTCCTTATTCAATAGGAAGGTCTAATGTGCTCTGGAACTACTCAATTTCATTGGCTGCTATCATCATCAATAAGCCAGGAGTAAGGTGAGTTAGAAAATACTGGCATCTCCATGGTGGCACCTGGTAAAAATGATCTATCTTCTTATTTGATTCTGGGATTCAGGGTGGAACGAAGCAGAAGCGCTTAGTTAGAACCAAGTATCAGAGGGGTAGCCGTGTTAGTCCGAATCTGTAAAAAGCAACAGAGGGTCCTGTGGCACCTTTAAGACTAACAGAAGTATTGGGAGCATAAGCTTTCGTGGGTAAGAACCTCACTTCTTCAGATGCAAGAAGAAGTGA